TGAAGAGTATGCATACTATCTTCGTAAGGCTATACATACTATCTTCGTAAGGTTATACATACTATATCCGTAAGTTTATACAGCGCCTCATCCTAAGATTATACATTCTCTCCCTAGGTTTAAGCCCCTGTTCTCCCTACGCTTACATTCCAGAACCGACCGTGAACTTTATAACAGATCTTCTCGGAACTTGTGTGAAACATGCATGAAAAACTTTGCTTTCTCCTCTGTACTCGTCCATCTCCATATTTCCCACTGCCCGAAAAACTTGCCGCTCCATGCACGAGGGATCGCTTTCAGGCACGATTTAGGGTTGAATTAGGATGGGGGTTTCGGGCAGGTTTCAGGAGGCTTTGAGGTATAGAGAGGGAACTTATAGCTATATAAGCTAAATAGCTAAATTTAGCTATTTAGCTTATAGATAAAACTTGTAGCTATAGCGGGTGGATTAATTGATACAGATTAAGCCACCCAAGAGGTGGCACGGGCATGAATAACCCGTAAAGCGGGTGGAGGTTTGGGGGTCAAATCACAAATTATAATCCTACTCTAAGCTGTGTTTTTCTAGTGGTTTAGAAAATCATTTTTATTGTTGTCTGAAGTGCAGAGAGGACGCGACGGGAGTCGATTTGTGTGTGTGTGTGTGTGTGTGTGTGTGTGTGTGTGTGTGTGTGTGTGTGTGTGTGTGTGTGTGTGTGTGTGTGTGTGTGTGTGTGTGTGGTTCTTGGTGTAGGTGGGTTTGGGGGTTTGTTTTGTGGGTTATGAGAGAGTGGGAAGGTTTATTTTTTGAGGGCCAGGGTGGTGGGGGGGGGGGGGGAGTGGGGGTGGAGGTTCCTGCGTCACTGCTTGTGATAGGCTTGTCTTCCTGCTTTCTAAATGTGAACACAAAAAGTTGCTTAAACGCCAGGGTCATCCTCGCTGGCCAGTCAGCCGGCCGGTCACCTCTCTCTCACACACACACACACACACACACATTCAGAATCATTCAGAATTGTAAAGAATCATTCAGAACTTTGTATACCACATATGTCAGACCAATCCTGGAGTATGCGGCTCCAGCATGGAGTCCATATCTAGTCAAGGATAAGACTAAACTGGAAAAGGTTCAAAGGTTTGCCACCAGACAAGTACCCGAGCTGAGAGGTATGAGCTACGAGGAGAGACTACGGGAATTAAACCTCACTTCGCTGGAAGACAGAAGAGTTAGGGGGGACATGATCACCACATTCAAGATTCTCAAGGGAATTGATAGGGTAGATAAAGACAGGCTATTTAACACAAGGGGCACACGCACTAGGGGACACAGGTGGAAACTGAGTGCCCAAATGAGCCACAGAGATATTAGAACTTTTTTAGCCTCAGAGTGGTTGACAAATGGAATGCATTAGGAAGTGATGTGGTGGAGGCTGACTCCATACACAGTTTCAAGTGTAGATATGATAGAGCCCAATAGGCTCAGGAACCTGTACACCTGTTGATTGACGGTTGAGAGGCGGGACCAAAGAGCCAGAGCTCAACCCCCGCAAGCACAACTAGGTGAGTACATGGGAGCCGACGAGAAACGATGGGTAGAGTTTCTTTCACCCTATGCCCCTGTTTTCCTTGTTTCCTAACAGTAAATAGGTACCTGGGAGTTAGTCAACTGTCACGGGCTGCTTCCTGGTGTGTGTGTGTAGGGTGTGAAAAAAATATATATATAGTAGTAGTAGTAGAAACAGTTGATTGACAGTTGAGAGGCGGGCCGTAAGAGCAGAGCTCAACCCCCGCAAGCACAACTAGGTGAATACAACTAGGTGAATACACACACCTAAGGAAGCTGGACACGGTGCTGAAGTTAGCAACGAGACTCGTCCCAGAGCCAAGAGGGATGAGGTACGAAGACTGACCTGAAGGAACTATACCTGACCACGTTAGAAAGGAAGATGGAGAGAGAGGTGACATGATACAGACGTATAAAGTACTTTGAGGGATTAACAAGGTGGAAACAGAGGAAATGTTTACAGTGAATAACAATAGAATAATTGGGCACGGATGGAAGCTTGAGACTCAGATGTGTCATAGAGATGTTAGAAAGAGTTCTTTTAGCGTAAGGGTAGGGAGTAAATAGAATAACCTAAAGGAGCAGATTGAGGCTATAACTCCATTCACAACTCCAAAAGCAGCTATGATAGGGTAATAGGCCGGGAGTCCTTGCAGTTAGACAACGGCTACAAAAGCAGGGTCCAAGAGCTAAAGCTCGACCCTGCAGGCACAACTATAGGTGAACACACCCATCACTCTACACCTCGACCCACGGCCCGCAGGCCAGCAGGTCCCACAGCCTTCCCACGCCCCGAGGCTCATCATCGGCTATGTGGCTGGCAACCTTCTATGAATGTGTGTTCTCACCTGGCAGTTATTTATCTAAGAGTTTACTGAGTCGAGCTTCAGCTCCTGGTCACAGTCTTATGAGAGAGAGAGAGAGAGAGAGAGAGAGAGAGAGAGAGAGAGAGAGAGAGAGAGAGAGAGAGAGAGAGAGAGAGAGAGAGAGAGAGGGAGGTAAGCCTGTATGACTATATGTATGTATGTATATGTCACAAGAGTGAAGAGTGAGGACCATCTGTGTCACTAGAGTGAAGAGTGAGGACCATCTGTGTCACAAGAGTGAAGAGTGAGGACCATCTGTGTCACTAGAGTGAAGAGTGAGGACCATCTGTGTCACTAGAGTGAAGAGTGAGGACCATCTGTGTCACTAGAGTGAAGAGTGAGGACCATCTGTGTCACAAGAGTGAAGAGTGAGGACCATCTGTGTCACTAGAGTGAAGAGTGAGGACCATCTGTGTCACAAGAGTGAAGAGTGAGGACCATCTGTGTCACTAGAGTAAAGAATGAGGACCATCTGTGTCACTAGAGTGAAGAATGAGTACCATCTGTGTCTCAGGAGTTCCTCACCAGACAGGGTATATACCTCCTTGTAGAATCTTGACTACCCCTGTACCCGGCCTGCCCCAAGCACCGCCGGTCCTCCAGCCTGATAATGCCCCCTCCCAGGGCCCCTTCCCTCCCAGGGCCCCTTCCCTCCCAGGGGCCCTTCCCTTCCAGGGCCCCTTCCCTCCCAGGGCCCCTTCCCTCCCAGGGCCCCTTCCCTCCCAGGGGCCCTTCCCTTCCAGGGGCCCTTCCCTTCCAGGGCCCCTTCCCTCCCAGGGCCCCTTCCCTCCCAGTGGCCCTTCCCTTTCAGGGCCCCTTCCCTCCCAGTGGCCCTTCCCTTCCAGGGCCCCTTCCCTCCTTAGGGAGCCGTCAGAGATTCCTCCTTGCCTATCTCCCCACGACCTGCCTAATGATGCTGCCGGGATATGGACTCAGCATCTGCGTCTTTCCGCAGTTCAAAGTCTTGAAAAGTCTAAGTTCACAGCCTCCAAGGATGAGGTATGGAAGGTTTGTCCATGAGATGCCATCCATAAGACGGTCTGTTCTTATGAGGACAGGCTGGGTGCTGGGATATGAGGACAGGCTGGGTGCTGGGATATGAGGACAGGCTGGGTGCTGGGATATGAGGACAGGCTGGGTGCTGGGATATGAGGACAGGCTGGGTGCTGGGATATGAGGACAGGCTGGGTGCTGGGATATGAGGACGGGCTAGGTGCTGGGATATGAGGACAGGCTGGGTGCTGGGATATGAGGACAGGCTGGGTGCTGGGATATGAGGACAGGCTAGGTGCTGGGATATGAGGACAGGCTAGGTGCTGGGATATGAGGACAGGCTGGGTGCTGGGATGTGAGGGCAGGCTAGGTGCTGGAATATGAGGAGAGGCAGGGTGCTGGAATATGAGGACAGGCTGGGTGCTGGGATATGAGGACAGGCTAGGTGCTGGGATATTGGGGAGAGAATATAAGCTGGGATATGAGGACAGAGGGAAAGAACGGTGCCCAACCACTTGAACCGTCGGGGGATCGAACACCGACCCGCAAGAACGAGGTCACCGCTGGGTAGTACGCTCCAAAAGTTTAGAGCCCCGACACGGAGGGAATGTGAACCCGACCGGATACAGGCGATTTGAGGCGCATTTAAAATTCGTCTATCCACATGTACGTCCAGAGGTGTGTGTGTGTGTGTGGGGCCAGGTTTAATCCACCATTTACGTGACCCCTTACGAAACCTGTACATCTTTTTAACAATCATCGAGGCTTTGTTTACAGTTATTAAACAGTTTGTGAGCTCCGAAGCACTATGGTAGTAGGCCATCCATCAGTCTCAGGAGACTATGGAGTTGCGCTCTGGTTATTGGTCTGAGGTGGCCTCTCCAGGGCGCAAAGCCTGGGTAGGTTGATACGGGGGAGAAGCTGTTACCCATGCAGCAGGTCCACTATACGGGGGAGAAGCTGTCACCCATGCAGCAGGTCCACTATACGGGGTTGTTTATAATAATAATAACCTTGGGTTGTAAAGATTCCAAGCGCATAAACCCCTTAAATGTAAAACAAAGTCCCCCATGATTGTTAAAAAATGGTGCACAGGTTTCGCAAGTGGTTGTTGCTATTTGATTCTCAAATTTCTTATTTTCGAAAAGTTTGGTAAACTCACGCGGCGAAACAATAGACTTTCCAGCAGAGAAAAAGTCTAATTTTCGAGAAAAGTCTAATTTTCGAGAAAAGTCAAATTTTTGAGAAAAGTCTAATTTTCAAGAAAAGTCTAATTTTCGAGAAAAGTCTAAATTTCGAGAAAAGTCTAATTTTCGAGACTAATATATATGTTTAGAGTCCGAATAGCTTCTGATCTATCGCCAGGTACTTGTGAGCGGCTGTGGCCTGTGAGGTTAACTTATGAGTTGCTTGTCTATGTGTCGTTAACATATGGGAGTTTTGTGAGATAACATGTGGGATTTTTATGAGAAAATGTAGGATTTTATGAGATTAAGAAAGAGTTATAACTCTTTCTATAGGAGGCAGGCGCGCGTGTGTATGTGTATGCGTGTGTGTAAAACATGCAAATGTCAAACATTTCACACAAAACAGTCACTTACGTATGTCGTGTTGAAGCTCCGTGCCGCTGCTCCGGTCAACATCCTCAGCAACTGTAGAAGAAACACCCCATTAGAATCATATACACCTCAAACTCCCCCAAATACACCGACAATAGCAACCAGATAGCATGTTTCGGTCCGACCAGGACCGAAACATGCCACCCAACACACATACATAAAGAGGAAGGCAAGAGAGAGAGCCGACGTTTAGGACCGTCATGGATCTTTATCAAGCAGCAATTGAGACAAACCTGGTTAGTCTCGATCGGTTACTTGATAAAGGGATCCAAAGCGGACCGAAATCTCGTGTCATTCCTTTTTTTACCACAAGTGGGAGTTGTGTTGCTTGTAAGGGTGGCCAGGGAGGGTGAGTAAGGGTGGCCAGGGAGGGTGAGTAAGGGTGGCCAGAGAGGGTGAGTAAGGGTGGCCAGGGAGGGTGAGTAAGGGTGGCCAGGGAGGGTGAGTAAGGGTGGCCAGGGAGGGTGAGTAAGGGTGGCCAGAGAGGGTGAGTAAGGGTGGCCAGAGAGGGTGAGTAAGGGTGGCCAGGGAGGGTGAGTAAGGGTGGCCAGGGAGGGTGAGTAAGGGTGGCCAGGGAGGGTGAGTAAGGGTGGCCAGAGAGGGTGAGTAAGGGTGGCCAGAGAGGGTGAGTAAGGGTGGCCAGGGAGGGTGAGTAAGGGTGGCCAGGGAGGGTGAGTAAGGGTGGCCAGGGAGGGTGAGTAAGGGTGGCCAGGGAGGGTGAGTAAGGGTGGCCAGGGAGGATGAGTAAGGGTGGCCAGGGAGGATGAGTAAGGGTGGCCAGGGAGGGTGAGTAAGGGTGGCCAGGGAGGGTGAGTAAGGGTGGCCAGGGAGGGTGAGTAAGGGTGGCCAGGGAGGGTGAGTAAGGGTGGCCAGGGAGGGTGAGTAAGGGTGGCCAGGGAGGGTGAGTAAGGGTGGCCAGGGAGGGTGAGTAAGGAGGGGGGGGGGCTAGAGAGGGTGAGTACCAGGGAGGGAGGAGGGATGGGGAGGACAGTGGAGACATTCTTGCGGTCAGTCTTCTGTACTTCCACCCACACTCGGCTCACATTGCCTTGGGTTCCCAGGGTTGATGTCCTTTCTCCTCTTACACCTATCATCAGTCTTGATGGTCCCCCATCAATTACACCTAGGCTTGATAATATTGTACATTCTTATCTTGAAAATTGGTTGTACCACGAAAGGTACAACCAATTGTTTTATTATTATTATTATTATTATTATTATTATTATTATTATTATTTACATATATTAGAGTTTGAAGTTTGTAAGCATGAACTGCACTTTTTTATTTAGAATTATCTGTAACAATGCAAGGACTCTGTATTTATAATAAATATCAGTGTGTGTCCCGAATTATACAATCGCAAGGATTTTTTTAATTCTTGAAGTGGTAATAAGGATTGTTCGCCGGGCTGTTGACAATTACAATTGTTAAGTCTTAATTAATCTATTCGTGTCTATTATATGCAATATAACTGATTCTTTACATTATGTTATTTATTTCCTTCGATGGTTAAATAATGGGTAAATGGGGGGGTGGAGTTTGTTGGGGATAGATTGTGTTGGAGCCCATCCCTAGCGTCAAGGTCAGGTGATCGACTGGCTAGGGCTGCCTGGTGGTGGGGTGGATAGGTCCTAGCTGCTCGGTGGTGGGGTGGACAGATCCGATTGCGCACCCAGAGTCTCTTTCTCTCTCCCCCTCTTCCTCACTTCTCCCTCTCTCTCAATCACCTCCTTCCCCTCTCCTCCCATCTACCCCCCCCCTGCCCATCTCCTCTCTGTCTCCAAACATCTCCCTTTCCCATCCCCCCTTTTCGGTATTTCTCTCCCAATCTCTGTCTCTATCTTGCTGTCTCTTTGCCCTGGTTGACGCAGTTCATCTGCAGCCCTATCTCTCTCTCTCTCTCTCTCTCTCTCTCTCTCTCTCTCTCTCTCTCTCTCTCTCTCTCTCTCTCTCTCTCTCTCTCTCTCTCTCTCTCTCTCTCGTCTCTCTCTCTCTCTCTCTCTCTCTCTCTCTCTCTCTCTCTCTCTCTCTCTCTCTCTGTCTAGTTTCACTTTTGGCTTTGAGACGGGACGGAGCTTGAAGAAGCCTTTGAAACTGTTGGACGGTCATCTGTTTTATGCTACTACGGGCAAAATGTGATGATTTGAAATTTTCTGTCAGTTTTGATGAGATCAGGGCGTAATTTTTTATATTAATATAAGAATGTTTTTCCCCTCCATCTTCTCTCCCCCTCTTCCTTTCCATCTCCCTCATTTCTCCCTTTCCCTCAACCCCCACCTCCCCTTCCCAACCTTTTTCCCAACTGATTTCTAACCTCGGACAGATTTTATTCCCTTTAATAAGGAAAGAAATCTAGGGACTTTAAAGAAATCTATGGACTCGTCAAGCCATCTTTCACATATTTTTTGAGGGGTCACTATTTGACTTTACCCTCTCCTAATAGGACCGACCCCTGCAGACCCCTTGTGTCTGCAGCCTATGTCTAAGAAATATCTAGACATCTAGGCAATATCTAGACGTCTAGGAAATATCTAGATGTCGAGGAAATTTTTAGATGTTGAGGAAATATTTAGATATCTAAGAAATATCTAGATATCCAAGAAATATCTAGATATCTAAGAAATATCTAGATATCTAAGAAATATCTAGATATCCAAGAAATATCTAGATATCTAAGAAATATCTAGATATCCAAGAAATATCTAGATATCTAAGAAATATCTAGATATCCAAGAAATATCTAGATATCCAAGAAATATCTAGATATCTAAGAAATATCTAGATATCCAAGAAATATCTAGATATCTAAGAAATATCTAGATATCTAAGAAATATCTAGATATCCAAGAAATATCTAGATATCCAAGAAATATCTAGATATCTAGGAAATATCTGGAGATTTTTGGTTCCCACAACCCCGTAAGTGATCGTCTGAAATCTCAAGAAATGCCTCGTGAGAAATTTAATTTCCGCTAAGCCCTGTAAAAGTCTGAGAACTCCGTGTAAGAATCCCCACCCGAGGTATTTTGGGAGACGCTGTAAAGGACGATGAACATCCTGAGAGTCAGGAGGAGTTCACTGTCCTCCTCCACCAGTGCTTGCACCGGCTGCACCACCACCATCACCTACCATCACCACCACCACCACCTACCATCACCACCACCACCACCTACCATCACCACCACCTACCATCACCACCACCTACCATCACCACCACCTACCACCACCACCACCTACCATCACCACCACTACCATCACCACCAGTATCACCACCACCACCTACCATCACCACCACCTACCATCACCACCACCTACCATCACCACCACCTTGTAACACTGTAAAAGTGTTTGGTTTATTTGTATTTAATACATACATAGAGTACATGAATCACAGACAGGGATTTGAGAAGGCGCCCGTGTTATACTCAAATTCTGTCAGTTGAAATGTAACCAATCACAGGCAAGTAGGCCTCTGACGTCATGCCAGACAGAGGAGCATCAAGCATGCTCCCAGCAGCCTCAGTTATCCTCACAGACCCAGAGTAGGTGGACCTCGGTTGGCCAGTTATACACCTGTTTGCCTCACTCAATAAATATATACAGAAGCGACTACTGAGTCTACATTCTACCCGAACAAGGCAAACGAATACTGGTAGCAGCAGTGGGATCCAGAAATTTTTTTCTGGAAGCAAAAGTTCAAGTACCCAGCATCGCCTTGTGTTCCAGCCAAAACCGCCGCCACCGCCACCGCCATAAGCCGCCATCCTGCCACCCACGCATCAAATATTGTGCCAGACCGGGGTCCTGCCATCAACCACTACTCCAGGCTAACGTTTTAGAAGTAAGGGTCAATATTTTCCTGTGAGAACGCTCACTCATCAGTGAGGAGGAAGGAAGCTTCCCGCGCCAGCCATTTTTGAACCTCGCGCCACCACGTGGGAACCACCTATTACACCCACCACCACCACCACCGCCACCCAAGCTGACAGTATCAAGCTTCGTGAGGGTGCAAGCTACTGCAATCGTCGTCAGCCATCGTCGCAAGTATCAACTGGTTATTCCATCGTCGCAATATTGTCGTCGTCAGAATTTATCTTCGTGCTTCTAGCGTGAACAGTGTGGGGTCCCTGAGTCTCGCGCCACCGCCGCCAGGAGCGCTGCCATCGCATCCAGTTTGTAAACACGCCTCACATGGGCCTCTTCAGATCTTCACGACGCTTCTCCTACTTTGGCTACTGGTGATCCTCATAAATTACAACCCTGAGATAAGTAATTGCTAGTTGAGAACAACGTGCCAAGTGTTAAAAAGTGACTTATGTAATAATTCCCATAATATCCTGTGAATTAACCATTCAGTGACTTGTTAAATATTGGAGCCGGTTTAGTACTCCAGAGGCCCACAGTTTCTCTGAGACATTTCAATATTCCCTGCATATGATTCCATTATTCATTAATTGTTACTAGTGTCATTACTGAATTCAAAGGTGAGAGAAGTAAGAAATAATTGTTCTAGCAGTTTATTTTGCATAAAAGAAATTTGTTTTTGAGATTTCCATAGACAATAGAACATAGAAATTTTTTTTTTATATTTCTCCAGACCTAACTTGAAATTTATCCTTTAAGCATTTTATTTTAAACTTTTACCATAGGAGTTATATACATTCCTGTGTCCAGTTTATGTGCTACATCCATATTTCTTGCATTGCCACTTGTTGTGTTGAATCTTTTAATGAAATTTTGCAATTGCATTTCCCAGTTTTTATTCTAAATTGCTGTGCTTAGTCTGGTTTAATTAATTTACATACATCTAATTCCAGTCATTTTTTAATGAAAGATTGCTAAATTTAGTTTACAATTTGCTTGTTCTTAATTATTTTCTTGCCTAGCCCAATTTAATAATTTTATTTCTGCCATTTTTACTTTAGCCAAGTTGATATTTTTTTGTGTTTATTTTTGTGTATACTATTTCTGATGCCAGGTGCACTTAATTATAATCTGCGTTCAAATATTACTTCCACGGCTGTGACAATGC